GCTCAAGTATAGCAGGGATTGTGGGGCTGGCGCGGGATCGGGCAGTGTTTTGTTCTGCTGTGCATGGGGTCACTATGAGTCGGAAACGACTCAACGGCATTTAACAACAACAACAAAGAAGAGTTAGTTGATGCCTTTGAGTTGTGCTGGCGGAGAATGCTGAAAGTACCATGGACTGCTAGAAGAGCGAACAGATCTGTCCTGGAGGAAGTGCAGCCGGAATGCTCCTTGGAAGCGAGAATGGCCAGACTTCTCTCACCCACTTTGGTCATGTTGTCAGAAGGGGCCATTCCCTGGAGAAGGATGTCATGCTTGGTAGGGTGGGGGTCAGTGAAGGAGGGGAAGGCCCTCCACGAGGTGGACTGACACGGAGGCTACAGCGACGGGCTCAGGTGCAGCAGGGACCGTGAGGCTGGGGCGGGACCGGGCGGGGTTTCCTTCTGTTGGACACGAGGTCACTGTGAGACGACTGGAGGGCTCCCGGCAACAACAGCCAGAGCAGAAGGCCTGGGGGCGGGGCAGAGCGCAGTTCCCAGGAGGCACTGCGTTTCTGTTTGTTGTTGGGCGTGGTCGAGTTGATTTTGGACACGTGGCGGCCCCCTGTGACACACAGCAGAACCGTTCCCGGGGTTCCTAGGCTGTCATCTTTACGGGAGCCAACCACCACACCTTTCTCCTGTGAGGCCACCGGGTGGGTTTGAACCGCAGACCTTTCAGTTAGTGGCTGAGTGTTTAACCATCATTGTACCCCCTGGGCTCCTTGAGTTTCTGTTTAAAAACCCTTTGCCACTGAGTCACTTCCGAGTCACAGTGACCCTACAGGTGAGAGCCTAACTGCCCCGTAGGGCAGAAGCTTTGCTTTACGGGAGCAGACGGCCTCATCTTCCTCCAGTGCTGCTGCTGGTGGGCTGGACACAGGTGCTTTACGCACTGCGCTACCAGAGCTCCTTGAGTTTCTGTTTAAACCAACCACCAAACTCGCTGCGGTCCAGTCGATCCAACTCATAGTGACCCCTCCTTGGGTTTCCAAGGCAGTATCACTACGGAAGTAGGTTGCCCCATCTTCCCTCCGAGGAGTGGCTGGTGGGTTTGAACCGTCAGCCTTCTGGTTAGCAGTCAAGTGCCTTAGGCACTACGCCACCAGAGCTCCTGAATTTCTGTTTAGGGGGATGGAAAAACATTTGGAAATTGGTAGCGATGGCGGTTGGACAACATGGTGATCATAATTAATGTTACTGAATTATACTCTTACCAGTGGTCAAAGGGGCATGGTTTTTATGTATATTTGATCTGAATGACAATAATTAAAAAAAAAAAAAGCTTTGGGCCTAGAATACCACAGACTTGAGTTCAAAGCCGCACTGGCTGTGTGGCCTTGGTGGAGCACCCAGCCTCTCTGGGCGTCGAGGTCCCTCTCTGTCAGGGGCAGGTCTCACAGCTCCCCGTTCTCAGGGTAGTCATCACAGTCTGTTAGCAGGCTGACAGTGACCATGACCGTGACCCCGTGGGGCCGCCCCCCTCCCCCCGGTGACGCAGAAATCAGACGCAGAGCTCAGGTAGCTGCTTTATTACAGTCATGACCACAGGGCCTGGGGAGGGGTGTCCAGGCCACTGGCACAATTCAGGAGATATGAGGGACGTGGCCACAGAGCCTGAGGGGCTCGGAGGGCAGCACGGGGCTGCGGGAAGTCACAGGCCCCACACGGGCTCAGCCGACGGGTTGTTCACGACGGAGTCGATCCAGTCTCGGAAGAGTGCCACGCGGGCAAAGAAGTCGGTGCCTTTGCCGCAGGGGCCCCGGGAGAAGGAGGCTACACCGTGCGCCAGGCCATTACAGACAAGGGGGCTGCCCCCGTCACCCTGGGTAGACGTAGGCATGTGAGGGCACCCTGGGCCCGGGTCCCCTGCACCCCACCTCCTCCAGAGTCACTTTGACAACTGAGCCTTTTCCTGCTCCTGAAAGCCACAAACTTGTTCCAGCCCCAAGCCCTTTGCACATGCTGTTCCCTCTCTGCATGCTTTTCCCACCACCTCTTGCCTGGTTAGCTCCTAATTGAATTTCCGGTCACAGATGCCTCTAGGAGCATTCCCTGACACCCCTAGTTTGGGTCAGGGGTACCCCAAACAACCACAATGCCTTGTGCACCCCCCACCAGTGCTCCTTAACCTTCTGCGGGTCTGACTCCCCCCCCACCCCGGCCATAAGACAGGCAGCCTCACTGTGTCCCCAGCCGCTGTTAAAACGCAGGACTATTCGAGGATCAGAATGGTAGCATCTTGGGATCTGAAGGTGACTCAAAACCGCCAATCCTGACTCCACACTCAACCCCGGGCCCCACTGCCACGTGTTCTCCCATCTGGTCCTGCCTCCTTCTACCACAGAGAGCTCACTACCTCTCAAGATCCCTCCTCCCCCAACAAGGAGCCCCCACCAGGTCCTTGCCTGGCTCGTACCTGGCAGATGCCACCCCGGCGGGAGGGCACACGTGTGCACACATTGTTGGGGCGACACTGGTCCTCAGGGGTCACGGTGACATTGATGACCCTCGGAAAGCGGGAGAGGCGCCTCCTGCGCCCTGAGACCCCCCAGCCCGCCACCTGGCAGCTGGTGCCGGCTTCCACCATGGCGTTCTGTGCGGGCAGCACCACCAGCGCCACGCTGTTGGTCAGGTTGGCCTCACCATCCAGCTGCAGAGGAAAACAGAGTTGGGGGAGGGCAGGACTGGGGTCCAGACTTTCCTGGAGGCCCAGATGGGAGCAGGCACTGCAGCAACCTGCCTTTTGGTCTGTGAGTGGTTTGGGTTCAAATCCCACCTCTGCTGTGGAATCCTGGGTGAGTTATTTTTTTTCTCTCTGGGCCTCTAGTTCCAGAAAGGAATAATAAAAAATTCCACCATGAAGGTGGGTGTGAAGATAAACCAAGACCCTAAGGGGCCCACCAAGGAAAGGCAGATAAATCAACACAGTACCATTTTCTCCCATCACACTAGCAAAAAAAGCTGTAAAAATCATAGTACCCAGTGTCAGTGAAGATGTGGAGAAATGGGCAGTTTTACATTCTGTTGGGGGGTGGGTGTATATTCAATCTTGTTGCCAAAGTGGCTGCCCTGGAGTAACAGTGGCCGGGTGCATGTGCAAAGTAGTTCATTTTGATTCTGTCCAAGCAAAAATATTTGAAACCACTTAAGGACCCACCACTAAGAGGCCAGAGAAGTGGGTTGTGATGTTTCCTCTGCCAACTTCGCTGCAGTTTTTAAACCATCAAAGGAAACCCACCAGGGCCCTGCGCACGCCGGCGCTCTCAATCCGCGGTCTTCCACAACCTCGCTCCAATCCCAGGCTCTGCAGATGCGTGGCCCTCCGCCCCCTGCCTCACCTGCAGGAGCAGCACGTCGTTCAGGTTCTGCTGCGGGTCGTAGCCATTTCGGCTGATGTTCCTGACGGGGAAGGTCTGTCTGGAACTCTCCCGCCGCTTCAGGTCATAGGCCCCCAGCACCACCGTGGCAATGCCGGGGTTCCTGGAATTGGGCAGGGCACAGAGGGGAACACCAGGTTGGGGTCCACCCCGGGCCCCAGGGCACTGACAAGCAGCAAGCTTACAAGTAAGAGAGGTCGCCAGCCCTCCCGCCAGGGCAGCCCGGGAACCAAAGGAGGGTGCAGTCTTACTGTGACCCCCCCCCCCGCTGTCACCGACGAGCCTGAGCCCCTCCGGCCCCTCCCCTGTGCGCCCTCCCCGGGGTTCCCTCCCTCTCCCGAGCTCCCCGCCGCCCCACTCCAAGTCCCTCCCGGGGCGGCCGCCCCTCACCTGACTTGGAAGCAGCTGGCGGCCGTCAGCACGAAGCGGCGGTGGATCAGGGCGCCCCCGCAGAAGTGGCGGCCCCGGTGCTGAATCGAGGCCAGGAAGGGAAAGGCTCCCCGCCCAGCCTTCCTGCCGCCCACGATGCCCGCGCGGGGGTCCGAGCCTGCGGAGGGAGAGCGTGCCCAGGCCCCTGCAGGCTCCCACCGCCACCGCCACCACGACCCCCCGCCGCGCGGCCGCGGGTAACCCCACCCTGCCCCGCTCCCTAAGAGGACAGGTGGGCAGGACCCTCTGTGCCCCCGACCCAGGGTCGCCCAGGGCCGGGCTGAGGGACCTAGGCCAGGCCACCGTCCCTCTCTGAGCCCTGGGTCTCTGTCCCCCGCGCAGCTGGGGGACGCCCGGGGCGGGGCCTCACCGGCCCACGCGGTCGCCACCAGGCAGCCCAGCAGTGCCAGGAGTCGGAGTTGAGGCATGGCGAGGGCTGCGGAGCCCCGGGCGCCTGGGGCCCTTATACCCGGCCTTGCCGTTGGCACGCCCCCCCACCCGGCACCGGGCCAGCCCCACCAGGAAAATGGAGCGTTGCTCAAGGCTCACTCCCCCTGCGCCGCTCCCCACCCCCCCAGCCCGGGATCCTCCACTCAACCCCTCAGTAAAACGGGATCCCACCTCCAAGATCTGTGAGACCTCAAAAACAAAATGAAACTCACTGCCATTGAGTCAGAGCGACCCCCCACTGGGTTTCCCAGGCTGTAAACTTTAGGAAACCCCAGGCGCCTCCTCTTTCTTCCTCTGTGGCTAGCAGGTTCACACCACCTGTACACCACCCAGTAAGAGCTGTGAAGGTGACATGAGTTCCCTGCTGCCAAGGCCCTGGGCGGGGACATGCACAAGCACTCCACGTTAGAATTGTGATCTCTGCGCATAATGGCCCCCCAGGCCGCGGTTTCCATCCGGAGCCTTCGACCTGACCCCCATGCTCGCCTGGGTTCAAGTTCTGCTTTCCCTCTGTAGACTGGGCTGGCTGCTAGCCTCCATTTCTGCATCTGTGAATTGAGTGTAAGAGCAGCTGAGATGGGGGCCCCCCGGAGCCAGAGAGTGGTAGAGTGCAGAGAAATTGGCTCCCGGTCTTTGAAGTGGGGTGTGCAGAGGTTTGTGGCACTCGGGACCCTGGGCAGGAGATGGGGGCCGAGGGGGGGCACGGGGTGAGTAAAACAAGGCGGGGAACAGAATATGCAAAAAATTCCTCCAGCTCCACACAGAAAGACCAGCGAGCCAAGGGAACAACGGGCCAGGAGCTGAACGAATGCTTCCCCAGACACACAGATGGCCAGTAAGCTCAGCAAAAGATGTGCAACATCATCAGCCATTCAAGCCAGGCCAAAGCTGCGGCCCTCGGTCGATTCTGACTCACAGTGACCCCAGGTGACAGCAGAACTGCCCCATAGGGCTTTCTTGGCCGTCATCTTTACAGGAGCCGATTGCCAGGCCTTCCTCTCCAAGCGCCCGTGAGTGGGTTTGAACCTCCAGCCTTTGAGTCAGCTGCCGGTGGTGTCATTGAGTGGGCTCCGACTCATAGCAAGGCCGTGTGCAACAGAACGAAACCCTGCCCGGTCCCGAGCCAGCCTCACAATCATTGCCGTGCTGGAGCCCATCGCCACAGCCACCGTGTCACTCTGTCTTGTTGAAAGCCTTCCCCTTTCGGGGGTGGGGGGACCAGGTTTGCTGGTCCGATAGAGCCTGGTGGAACCACTGAGACTGTGGCCCCTGGCTGCCCTTCAGGTGTGGAATTGAACCCACCCTGTGGCTTCCAGCCAAACAGAAGACAGGCATATGAGCTGAATATGTACCTGAGGTAGCTACACTCCTTGGAGAGAACAATCATGGGAGAAAGAAGGGCTGCTTATGCACAGGGAGACGGCTCAGGGGGCAGGAGGGCATGGAGGGATGGACACTGGGAAGAGGTGACTATCGGGAGGGAAGTAGGAGGGGAGCTGTTGCATTGAGGTAAATTGTAGTTAATGTCATGAGACAAAGTGTGTGTGAACTGCTGTATGCAAAGTGAATTTGCTCTGTAAACTTTCACCCAAATCACAATTAAAAAAAAAAAAAAAGTCTTCCCCTTTCTTGCTGACCCTCTATTTTACCTGTGGAGCTCTGATGGCATCGTGGATAAGGTATTTGGCTGCTAACCAAAAGGTCAGCGGTTCAAACCCAGCAGCTGCTCTGCAGGAAGAAGATGAGGCCATCTGCTTCCGTGAAGAGTCACAGCCTTGGAAACCCAGTGGGGGTCGCTATGACTCAGAACCAACTCGAAGGCACTGGGTTTGGGGCTAATTTATCCTCCCTTCCTTCTCCAGGAACTGGTTCCACCTGACCACACGACCAAGGTACCGGAGACGAAGTCTGGCCATTCTGCCCTGTATTCTGGCTGGACTTCCTGCAGGTCAGACCTGTTCGTCCTTCTGGCGGTCCATGGACACTCCACATTCTTCCCCAGCTCCGCGGCTCACAGGCACTGGCTGTCTGCAGCCTTCCTTACTCGTTGTCCAGCACTCCCACACCACTGAGGCTAGCAGCCCCCCCCGTCTACCCGTTGTTCCACTACAGCCAGGAGCACCCCATGGACCTCAGTCTTCCTCTGGGACACATGGGGTCACCAGGCATCAGAATCAACTCAGTGGCAACAGGGGCTTTTTCTTGCGCTCCCTGAGCAAACATGGGGCCTGGAGGCTTGGGCCTCGCCCTTTGCAGTGTCCCCTCCATAGCCCCAGGCCTCTGCCTCAGCTCAGCCCTCTCAGCCTGCTCCCCTGGCAGCCCCCCTGCATCCTCCCTCCTGAGGCCCAGCCCCCTCCCCGCTGGGTGCCGTCCGCCAGGGTTGCCCTGGGGTCCCCTCTCTGGCCTGGGTTTCTCTAACTGTAGAACAGGGCGCAGGCTCTTGCAGGGCCACTTCGTGGAGACGTGGTGAGTCTTTACCACCTTCACCGTCACCATCACCTTCCGTAAGGGGTTGGAGCAGTGCCTGCAGGGCTCGCACAGCCCAGCTCTGCTCCCCGCCCTTCAGGGGCTCCCTGCTGCCCCAGACTCAGCCAGGCCTTGCCTCACCCCCCACCAGGGATCCCGTGGAAAAAGGATCCCCCCCATCCAACTGTGATCCCGAAATGCCCCCAGACTCTTGCGGTAACCCCAACCGCCAGCGCTCCCCTCCCACACCTTCCCGCCAGGAGACATCTGGGATTGGTTGCTTCATTTCCCCTCCTCTGCCACTGCCCGGTGGCTGTTTGTGGTCACCTTTCAACACTCTCATTCCCAACGGCCACCGGCCACCAGCCACCGTCCCATGGTGGCTGGGGAAACTGAGGACAGCCCAGACCCACCCAGCACTGTGTGACCCAAGGCCAGCAGCTGCACCTTTGGGTTCTGGGTGTCTGCTGGGAAGAGGGTGCCCATGTGGCGGGGGGGATAAGCTGTGATCACTTGTAGATGGGTCTGGGGGCCAAAGACCTGTCCTCAGAGTACACGGTCCGTGTCTGGTGGCCTGATGTGCCTTGGGCCTGGGAGACTGCAGAAGCTGCCTGAACATGGCTGGGGCTGAGGTTGGAGGCCACCTCTCCTCGGTCAGCACATTTGGAGAGGCACGTAGGCACGCTCACATCCGGACAAAGCGCTCAGTCCGGGAACGCCAGGAGTGGGTGGCGATGTGACCAGGGAGGTCCGAGGGCTCAGGGCCTGTGGGGACCCTGCACCTGTCCTAACAGCCCAGAAATGATGCCATGCAGGTGATCCCACTCATGACATCTCCACGTCTGTCAGAGTAGAAATGCGCTCCACGGGGTTCTCCACGGCTGATGTTTGGGAAGAAGATCACCAGGCCTTTCTTCTGAGATGCCGCTGAGTGGACTCAAACCTGTAACCTTTTGGTTGCAACACCGTTTAGTTTCCTTATTATTTTTATTGCTGTTGCCTTTACTGTGAGTGGAGAGGGGCTTTCTTCTCACAGAGCAGCAGAACTTGTTATTTCCACTGCTGGGTGAGGGAGTTGGCCGAGAGTTCACCCAGCAAGATACCAGCCCGCAGGACTCCCTTGCAACCGCACAGAAAACCTCCAGTTCAAGAGTCTTTTTAAAAACATGAGTCGATTAAAAAAAAAAAATTAACTGATATTAAATATTGTATTATTATTAATCATGTAATGCGTTATGTAGTACATGAAGAACAATTACAGAGGATTGTTTAATAATTAATATTACCTATTAAGAGAGGGAGGGGGCCAGACATGTAAATGGGTGGACAGTGACGGCAACCGAGTAGGCACTCAATTAATGCAGTCCTCACCCACACACTAATGAGACAGTCAACTAGGAAGTCCCACTGGGTACCCCCGCCAGTGGCTGATTGGGACGGGTGTCCAACAAATGCGCAAGAAACGCTGAATAAATAAACCGAATAAAATGCTGTCTCTCGGGATCAAGTGATTGCACTTCCCTGGGCCTCAGTTTTCTCATCCGTAAAATGGGGTCAGGCCGTCCCTCGGCCACACGGCTGTCTCAGGGCCGAAGCTGCCTAACTGCGCGTCGCCGAGATTCGCGGTGCCCTACCCGCCGCCGCCTCCGCGGCTGCCAGCAGGCGCCCAGACGTCGGTCCCCGTGGCCTTGCGCCCGGACAGCTGTAGGCCCGGCTGGCAGCGGCGAGAGGGGCGGCGGGAGCTCGCGCCCGGGGCTGACGGAGGCGGGGCGCGGAGGAAGGGGCGGGGCGAGCGCGGGGGAGGGCGGCTCCCCCTTCTTTTGTCTTGGATCACTCGGGCGCCGGGGGAGCTCGCGCGCCTTGGAAACGCGCGCCGGGGAGCGTCGGGCACCGGGGCGGGGGGTACGGAGGCGGGGCAGTCAGAGGCAGGCGGAGACAGTGAGAGACCCAGGAACCGCCCCGGCCCCGGCCCCGATGGGGGCTCCCGAGGCCGCCCCGAGAGACCCCACAAGGGACGAGGGGGCTGGAGCCGGGAAGGGCTCGGAGGGAGGAGGCCCCAGACCCAGGACCCCGGCAGCCCCGGCCTGAGCCTGAGACCTGGAGACCCAGAGACGCAGGAGGTGGGGGAGGCCTGCGGGGCCCGCGACGCGCGCAGACAAAGAGCCCGGACGCTCGCGCCGCCGCCGGCCGCGGTCTCCGCCGGGGCCCTTCAGCCCGCCCCTCCCGCCCCTTGCCCGTCCCACGGCCCGCCCCCGGGGGGAGGGGCCGCGCTTTGTGCTCGCAGCGCCGCAGCCCCCGCCCGCCGCTACCGCCTCCACCGCCCTTCCAGCTCCGGCCGCGCCAGGTGAGGGGCTGGGCGCCGCACCCTCACCCTCCGCCGGCCCTCGGGACCCCCATTCTCGGAGCTCCCGCCCCGGTGCGGGAGCCGACCCCCGGCTGAGATCCCCACCCGGGCCAAGCCGGCCCCGCCCTCTTCGCTGAGCCCCCGCCCGACCCCCCACGCGGGGTGGGGGCTCCTCGGAAGCGGGATGCTTGGGTAGGGCCGCGGTCGCAGCACGAGGCCCAGGGGGACGCCCCGCCCCCACGCCCGCGTCCTCAGTTTCCCTGGGCGGTTCCTGCGCACCCTCGGCCTCCCCGCCCCCGCCAGCGGCGGGCACCGGGTCCTCCTAGGACTCATTCTGCACCCCCTGCTCCCGCCACGGCTTTGTCCCCCTCCAGCCACGGCCTGTGGCGCCCGCGGTGCCATGATCTCAGCCAAGGAGAAGAGTAAGACCCCCAAGGACAGCATGACGCTTCTCCCTTGCTTCTACTTCGTGGAGGTGAGTGGGGGGCGCGCGTGGTGGTGGGGGAGGCCTCAGTTCTGCCAACCCTCAGGGGGCCCAGGCTGAAGGACCGGAGTGTGCGCCGCTGCCCAGCGGCATCTGGCCTGGTCCAGTCAGATGGGGGTCGGGGAGTCCGAGGACTTGGGCTCTGCAGGGTGGATAGGAGTGCAAAGGTGCCGAAGGCGCGTTCCGGCGGGAAACAGCCTGGGCAAATCCCGGGAGGTGAGGCCTTCAGGACCCGGTGTAGACCAGTAGTTCACTTGGAGAGGCTGAAGCAGGGGCCTCTGGGGGCTAGGAGGGGAGCAGGGCGGTGGGAAGGCGGTGGGTTCAAATCCCTCCTCTGTGTTTGCGACCCTGTGCTCTTAACCTTTGCAAGCCTCAGTTTCCCCATTTATAGAGTAAAGCCAGTTGCTCTGGAGGCAGCTGCGTTCCTGGTGGCCATGTGTGTCCGGGTGGCCCGGAAGGGCGTGGATGGGGCTGGAATCTCCATTATGTGGAGAAAACTTCACCCATGGCTGGCAGCTTGGAGCAGAAGCCAGCGCCTGATCCCCGGGCTGCTGGGGCCAGGACCTCAGTGGGACTCCCCGGGTTTCCCTCAACCAGCACCATCTCTCAGTGGCCCACACCACGTCCCAGACAATCAATCTGTTTATTTTTCAAAATTGCATTTAAGTTCCTGTGACAGCAGGTTCCAACGTGAACACGGATGCCAAAGGCCCCAACAAAAGACAAGGACATTGAATATGACACCGTGTAAAAGGAATTGTACCCCAAGAATGGCAGGCGGAGGCCCCTGAAGGGTGGCGGGGTCAGCAGTGCAGGAGAGAGGCCTGGCTGGCGTGGCAGTATGCTGACATAAAGATGACAGCCAGGAAAAACTAGGGGGCTCTAACACGCAGAATCAGCGGAAGGTCAACGTGTTTGTTTTTTATTGGAGGCTGGTTCAACACATGCAACTGATTGATTCCATCACAAGCAGGAAACGCGTGCTCCTGTCAATAGAGGCAGGAAGAGCAATTGACGGCCTCAACACGGGTCACGATACAAGCTCGCAGCAGAGGGAAACTCCTCAGCTGGGTGGAGAACACGGGGTTTCAGGGCTTCGCTCCAGCGCCCCTCCCCAGCCTCAGTCCTCTCACGTGTCTCTTACTTGAGTCTTCCCACAATTGTTGGACGTCTGTTTGGACCCACAGATCTATGTTTTCCTCCCTGCCCCTTCGCTTTTCAAAAGGCAACTTTCTGCTCTTAGCTCTTTTCCAGCGGGGATCTCTGCCCGTCAGCGCAGCAAAGGGCGTCTTCTTGTCTTCTCCCTGTTGTGTGGTGTTCCATTGTGGACGCGCTGTCCGCGCCCGATGGACACTGGGTTGTTTCTGCACCTTTGACATGACAGACATTCCTGTAAAGGATGCCCTTTGGCCCATGTTATTTGGCATGAGAAGTTTATCTATATGATAAGTCCACAGGAGAGAGGGGGTCTGGGGTACAAGCTGTGGTCACATTTGCAAAAATCCCCGAGTCTCCTGGCAAAAAAGATGGGAGGCGGCATCTTCTGGCCCCCTCTAACTTCACAAGAGAAAGACAGGATCACCGTCAGCAGCCCGAGGGTATTCATTTGAGGCCAGACGTGCTGCCACCGTCCAGCCTTTTTGTCACCTCTGATGCCAGCCGTCCCTCCCACAACACTCACTACTTCTTGTTGGGTTCGATAATTCATTGCAGTGACCACACAGAACTCACAGACAGTACTCACAACTATGGAGTTTATTAGGAATGTAACAGGCTACCATTCAGGTTGAGGACCACGCTCAGGATACAGCCCTTTGATCAGGACAGTCTCCCCTCTGCTGTGCCCTTGGCCACGCCTCTCTGGCCCTTGGCCTCCTGGCCTGGCCTCTACCCTGCTCAGTCAAGTGTTACAAAGCTCTTTTAGCTCTGCTGATAGGTACATCTATGTGCACCCAGTCCATCAGCAAGCCTTCTGCCCAAGGGCACTCAGCTTTCTTGTTCTGTGGGCCAGGGAAGCCCGCCACTCTGTCTCGTGCCTCATGGTTCCACTGTGACCCTCTCTCTGCTGGGGTGTCTCTCTCTCTGCCAGAGTCTGTCTGTGTGTCTGTCTGTTTCTCTCTCTGCTGGGGTATCTCTCTCTGGCAGGGTGGCTCTCTCTGCCGGGACATCTCTGCAAGGAGGTCCAGGGCAGGGATCTCGGGTCCAAGGACACACTCTACTTCACCCCCAGCTCTTCTCTGTTGATGGCAGTGAGATCCCTCTCTGCCTCTGTTGTTGTTGTTGTTGTTGTTGTTGTTTGCCATCGAGTCGGCCCCGACTCATAGTGACCCCTCCTTGGGTTTCCGAGGCAGTATCACTACGGAGGTAGGATTGCCCAACCGTCCTTCCGAGGAGTGGCTGGTGGGTTTGAACCGCCAGTCTTCTGGTTAGCAGTCAAGTGCCTTAGGCACTATGCTACCAGAGCTCCTAGGACAGCTCATTTTAAGCCTGGCAGAGTGACAAAACTAACCAATGCCAACATCAGAGTTCTATACATCTTCTTTGCATGGTCCCACCTAGTAATCCAGTGGGAGTTACAAAGACTATGGCTAGGAAGCCATACCAAGGAATTCACTGCACCACAACCCTCCAGGGAGGTGCAGCATGTACAAGCCCGTGTGTGTGTGTGTGTGTGTGTGTGTATTTTCAGTGTCTGTTTCCCCACAGCACTGCCAGCACCGGGTGTTAACAGCATTTTGGATTTTGACCAATCTGATGCATGAAAGACTGTCTCAGTTTTAATTTGCATTTCCTTTATACAAATCTTTCTTTGGGGATTGCTGGTTTTCTGCTGAGGGTCTCCAAAAGCAATGAGAAGTGGTGGAGGGAGTTCAGGAAGCATTCCAGACCCTCCAGGGGTGGTGGAGTCGATGGGGCTTGCTGCCCAGACCCTGCCAGGCATGAGCCTCAGCTCACCTCCCCCACCCTGTCCTTGTCCCCAGGTGCTGCTGTGCTACCTCCAGGGTGGTGACAGGTGCCCAGCCCCTCCCTCCCCCCCTCCCCCCACCAACTCCTATTCTCCCCAAGTCCCCCTCCCTCCCCCTCCCCCCACCAACTCCTATTCTCCCAAGTCCACCTCCCCTCCTAGAGCAGCCAAAATCAGATGCCGCCCCTTCTCTTCTAACTGCTCAGTGTCCTAAGGAAGGATCCTTGGGGCCCACAAGACAGGGTCTGGCCCTACCCACCCCACTTGCCCCTTCAAACCCCCCCCCCTGCTTCTGAAGCCAGCTCATGTGTGTTAAGAAGCTTAATTAGCAGGCACTCCCCAGGTATCAGGAGCTCTGGTAGTGTAGTGCCTAAGGCACCTGACTGCTAACCAGAAGGCTGGCAGTTCAAACCGACCAGCCACTCCTCAGAAGGAAGACAAGGCAATCTACTTCCGTAGTGATACCGCCTCGGCAACCCAAGGAGGGGTCGCTATGAGTCAGGTCCGACTCCACGGCACATAACAACAACAACCACCCCAGGTATCAGGATTAAGGGAACAACAATCCTTCACTGAGACTTGGAAAGCCATCGGGAGCTTGACGGAGATTTAAAAAGCAAACCATCTTCTTGCTAAAGGAGTTTGTATTTTTAAGGCTATGATTCACCCATCCACCCACATCCACCTGTCCCTCAGCCTATGTCCACTTGCCCATCCACCCACCCACTCATTCATCCATCCATCCACATTCAGGTGGATGGATGATGGATGGATGAAGGAGGATGGATGGATGAGTGGACGGACAGATACATAGTGGCGGGATATTTGGGTGGGTAGGTGGATGGATGGACAAGTACATGGATATATACAAGATGCGTGGATGTGTGGCTAGGTGAGTGATGGGTGGATCTGTGCTTGGATTACATGAATGGGTAGGAGAATCGTGATCCCATGAGCAACGTGAATGGGTGAACTGAAGGATGGATGGGTGAATGGATGGAGTAGATGGATAGGTAGATGGTATGTGAATGGATAGATGTATGTATGTATATAGATGGAAGGGGGATAGATGGGCGAATGTGTGGACAGATGGATGGGTAGGAGAATCATGATCCCATGAACAGTGTGAATGGGTGAAGTAAAGGATGGATGGGTGAATGGATGGATATAAATTGTGGGTGGATGGATGGATGTGGTGAATGGATGGATAGATAAGATGGGTGGATGGATGCATGGATGAATGGATGGGGTGAACAGATGGTGTGTGGATGGGTGGGGTGAGTAGATGGATAGGTGGTGGGTAGATGTGCGTATGTATGGACAGACAGACGGATGGTAGGTGGACGAGTAGGTGAATCAGTGGACCAGTGACTGAATCCATGGATGGATGGAAGACTCAGAGCAGATGAAAGTGACCTGGCTGGCGTCTTCCCACAGCTGCCCATTGTGGCATCCTCAGTTGTGTCCCTCTACTTCCTGGAGCTGACTGACCTCTTCAAGCCAGCCAAGGTGGGCTTCCAGTGCTACGACCGCACGCTCTCCATGCCCTACGTGG